TGTTTTACCCACTCCATGTCTCCAGAAATATTTCAGCGCTTATCATTAGCTTTTGAAAGTGTGAAAATAATTTCCAGTAAAGGACAATGTTGCAACAGTCGTTGTTTAGGTACCTTAAACGCGCACATACAGTCTCTGAGTCATCGCTGCAACCAGGAGATGAAGGAGAGTTGAGATCCACATCACCTAGCACATCTTCGTCTCTGCCACCCGCTATAGTGCGACTATCGCAGCTAGCGCGACCAGCGCCGTTGCTAGGAGGGCGCCAGCGCCTCTGCCTATCCCATGAGTCCTAATAAATGCAATTTCAACTATTTCTGAAGTGCTTCTTTTATAAAGAACACCGCTTTTTCTTTTATCGGGAAACGCAGCCCAAGTATGATGCGTAATGGAGATTCCAAAAGCGCTCTTCTTTTGGTCAGAACCAAGGAGAGCGATCGCGAGGTCCGTCCTGACTCCATATGCACCGAAACTTTTTAACAATGCAACAAAATATTTAAAGAGCATCAAGCTATTAAAATCTATATTATGTATAGCCTAGGTAGCCTACAGATATATTAGTCAGTAATTTTTATTAGGTTAAACAGTGATTGGATAACGTTTTTAATTTAAGGCCCACCCACAATTGGTCTGGCCCATCCAAACCTGGAATCCTGGCGCCGTGCCTGCATAGGGCTACCACATTTTTAAATTACTATTCGTATTATTTGAAGTTAACATAATAAAATACGTAGACCTACACCAAAAAAACTTGTTGAGGATAAATTCTTTAAAATTGGGCAATTCCAGCGTTGTGGACGTGACATTTGCAGTCAAAACTTGAAATATAAATTCTCAGAAAATGCATTTAATACTGTAACGTCTGTTTATATATTCATACTCCCTTAAGGCGGGCTTACACGGTGCGATTTTTTTGCTGTTTTACGAGCTCGCAGATGATTTTTTTCACTCTGGAGAAATCGCGTGGAAATCAGTTGTGCTCGCATGTTGGCCTCGTGTGTGCTAGGAAGATACGAGCCGAGCCGAACCTCTCGACCTCACGATAATTTTTAAACATGTCTAAAAAGTTCAGGAGAAGTAGGCTTGAATTCGTGAGGTGTGTGCGCTGTGCAGTTGAATGTGAATCTGAATTTGACCAATCAGGAGCTGAAGAAATCCACAGAAGAAAGACGAAAATGGCAGCGCGCGAATTTGGACTATTGAAAGGGAACCCTACTACTTTATTATGATTTTAGTATCATATTGATTAATAAATGCACGCACAATTATCAGTGAACTTGATAAATGTTGCAGATATGTTTTACTATGCACAAACAAATGCCTTTCAACTTGTGTGCAAAATTCTGAATTAAATGAATGTGCAGCAATATGTACAAATAGAGTCTGTAGCCTATGTGTTGTAGCCATAATAAGCGCATTTAGTTTCATATTTATTATAATGTTTTTTTTCATCTATGTTTATTATGAAAAGTATAGCCTATACGCAATATATCGGGAGACATGGCCAGATATGATTTTGACCACCTCATTAAGTGTTGTTTTGTAGAAAGCCTTTCTTTAAAGTGAAATTCGTTTTGTATAAATTGTATCTTAATTTTAATCAATTTTTCATCAACCAATTACCTGGATTGAATTAGCCTAATAAGAAGCAAATATAGCTGGATTTACAAATGCACATCTTCATTGTTGCATGCAGCACACATATGTCGAAATAAGACATAACCACAACAATCATCGAATTGTCCTGGTTTGAGACTGTTAATAACACAAAATATTATTTTTATTTTTTTCATGTTCGCATTTATGAGGGAATTTTTTTTTTACTGACGTGACAGTTCTCCGTTACGGACATGACCGCTCTGAAAGTGACTTTAAAACTTTTACAGATAAATATATAGAAAGCTTGACATGTCTACTTTTTAACAGAATAATTCAAAACGAAAGAAAACAGACTACAGACTCTGCTTCTGTAATCCGTAAATGTGCATTTCTCTCTGGCGCGTTCACTACTGCGAAGATCGCGAGTCAGCATCATCACCTTTATATTTGCAGCCACACTGACAAAGACTTGTTTATTAATAAACAATTAAAATGTCCCCTTGAAATTATTCATAATCATCACTTTTGCCGGTTCTTTGTGGCAGCTTTAAGATACTGTATTGGCAGCGCCACCCTTACATTTTACGTACATGAACGCGTCACCACGGCATCAGCACCGAAAACATGATTTTTTTAAAAATTATTTTTATTTTTTTCAAATCAAAAATCGTGATACGAACCGAATTGTAGGTTTGGTCTATCGTTACAGCCGCAAGATGAGAAAGCAGGAGTTTAGTCGTGTATCGTGGAATGGCTATCTGAACATCTATGCCAAAACCAGTACAAAAGTAATTAATAAATTATCGGGGAGGGTCATGCCTTTTTTCACAATCATTTTGGAGGGTCATAGAAAAAATTATTGCTGGCGAAGGGAGGGTCAAGTCTTTTTTGACTACAGATCTCAAATCTCCTCCGGTGGCCCCTTAAATAAAAAACGAACAGTCCCTTATAGCTTCCTGCAACAAATGGTGAATCTATCATTTTTTTTCTTTATATTTAAAAAAAAAAAATCAGACCTTTTTTTCTAAAATAATTGAATGGATGCTATCTTTTGAACTCTTGGCATGAAAACAAACTGAGGTTTCTACCCTTCCTTCATGATTTTTCATGTTCATCACTATTTCAAAATAAAGGTCTAAACACGCCTTAGGAGTATGAAAATATTCTTGTTGCAAATTGATAAATTACGGCTCCTCTGTAATTTATTTTGAAAATCAATCACCAAATATGGAAACTAGAGATTGTAAGCTTTCAAATGATATATAGTTTGTCAAGATTAGTTTAGGTTTAGTATAGGATATTACTGTTTTAAAAATGTAATGGATTTGGGCCCACCGGTGGGCCGGTGACACTTAAGGGGTTAAATTTCCATTTCAGTTTTTCAAAAACATATTTCAAAATATTTTCAATAATGTATTACATTGTTTTCTTAGTTTCATTTATTTACATTTAATTTGTACTGTAAATTAGTCATCTGAAACATTCCTATATAAGTTTTTTGAGGAAAAAATTTCTGGATTTTTCTCCACACAATGGGCTTCAACGGTAACCAAATTGTTGTAAGTCCAAATCAATGCAGTTTCAAAGGGCTTTGAAGTGCTTCAAATGGCTCTGCACGATCCCAGCTGAGGGATAATTCATTTATTTTCCACTGAAGAAAGAAAGACATGAACATCTGATTTGTGGATATTCCAATCACGTCTGCAGAACTGAAAGAAATAGAAATCTTTCTTAACTGGCATTAATAATGATACAAAAGGCTCTCTTAAAATGTCTCTTAAAAAATCTTTTACATTTTTTTTTTAACAATGTCATTGAAATGATGTGTTGAATCTGGTCAAACGTGATACTATGAGCTGTTTTCTATGCATTTTATATAAGGTTTGCAATTGTGCAACTATTAACCATAACCCTAACCCTAACATCCAAAACAGTTTAGAACACAGTTTTTCCCCCTAGCCATATACATTAAATAAGCATAAAAAATTAAAAATATGTAATTGCAATACAGCCCTGAGTGCACTTGTACAGTTTGGTCACAGCACCGCCGACTGGTCAAAATGTCTGCTGATATGGCATAATACCCTGTAGTGGCTTTCCTATAAGCCAGGGAAAGCTGATAAGATGTTCTTCACGCATAGTTTGGAATCACAATGTCCACAGAAAGATATCCATTTCAAAATGCTTTGTTGTCCATTTATAGAATGTCTTACACAGTTTAAAAGCATTGGTTCTATGGTAAGAAAACCATAAAAATGGCATGCTCTACAATGAAAGAGCTGCTGTAATCCATAAGGTAAACTTAACTCAGAAATTATGCTCTCAATGAGTTCAGTGATTCAGGTCAAATAATGATTATGTTAAAACACAACCAACACCATCAGATCACCTTTTTTCTTTGTTCATCTGGCTGTTATAAATCGGGTACAGCAGCCAAACAAAATCTAAAGTTAATGATTTGAAGGTCAAGAGCCCAACTAAAACCAGCACTGATCACCATAATGGTGACTTAAAAATTCCGTTTTTCTCCTTCAGTGATTCTGCTTGTGAACATCAGGTGTCTTCAATAATGCTCAATTATCACTCAATTATTCACTTAATTATCTCATTAACTTTAACACTGCTTCAGTGTTCATTTAAGACTCTGCTTAGAGTTTATATAATTCACACTCTCAGGGTTAATTTAACACTCTAAGTGTTAATTTAACACTCTAAGTGTTAATTTAACACTGGAGATTTTACTGTGTACACCTTTTAAATCACAATAATTTAATTTATATTTATTTTGTTTGTAGTTACTGCATCCTTAACTTTCATAGAGTCAGATCTGCTCAAAGTGATATGGAGTGTCAAGCTTTATTTGCACGTCTGCAGGAACTCAGTTTGTCCAGTGTAAAACCACACAGACTTCACATGTGCTGCATCATGATGAGCTCAACAGTTTACATTTTACATATCACAATCCTACATCAGCTGTTAAATCCCACAACATGCACATTATCAGTGATATAAAAAAGCCACCTTCCTCATCTCTTTCAAACGCCGTTGTCGTCTGGCTGTGAGTGACTGACTTTTCTGATCTTCTCCTCTCATCATTGAGCTCCTGAAAAATAAAGATAAACAGACAAGAATATTCTCAGGTAAATTTAGAAGTAAAGTAAAAGGTCAACATATCGATATAGATCACAGGTTTAATCGCATATTAGACGTTTTTTCAATCCAACAGAAAATACAAACAAATTTAAATATTTTTGGTATACAATTTAACCGTGAGGCATACAGTACTGTTATTGCAGTCATAGATGTAATATTTGTGAGATGCTGAGGTGTTTCTGGATGTCTTTCAGCATCTGTTCTTCACTAGATCTACTAGATCATCTGAGGGATTTGACTGAATCAAGATGCTGATCATTGAAGCTCTTCTTCTCATTTTAGCTGCTCTAGGACAGGTAAGCTTGTGTTCTAGTATGAATATTACAGACATGAATACTGATGATGTGATCATTATGATTTCTGTTGCTGCAGGATCACAGCGCTGCTGCTGCTGAAGGAAAGATATATCCATTGGATATGGCACCGAATTCTGTTGATGATCAATATGACGGTTGTAGAGAGAAAATGGCAGACCTGGTGAAGACAAAATATCTGAAGGAGGAAATCAATAAGTCTTCTGAATTTAATGATACTTGGCACGACGGTGAAATTAACGCCAAGAACCCACAGGATAATTTGGAACAGAATCATTCAGTCGCTATTTATGTGTACTCTAACAACAATTCTAATGTATTTCGTAAATTCAATAATGCTGTCCGTAGTGAGAAACAAAAATACAAAGATGGGACATTCACATGGTATTCACTTCACTTTCTGGTAACAGATGCAATACAGATTCTGAAGAAAAGACAAAGCAAATGCTATTCAACTTATCGCGGCACTACAGCTGAGTTTGACACGGATGTTCTGAACAAAGAGGTTCGTTTCGGCTCATTTACATCCTCCTCTCTTGATCGTAAGGTAGCAAATGATTTTGGACCGAAATCTTGTTTTGAAATCGAAACTTGTGAAGGTGCTGATGTGATCAAATACTCCAAATATCCTGACCAGAAAGAGGTGCTTATTCCCCCATATGAGAAGTTTAACGTCACTGCTGTCAAGACAAAAGGTCAGGAAGGTGCCTGGTGTGACATTGTGTTCAAGTTGAAAAGCACTGGGAAAATAAGTTACCTGAACTGTGGTGTTGATGCAAAACTGGTACAGGACAGGGCCAAACTTTAAATCTTCACTCATTGTGTCTCTTTAAGTCAGACGTTGCTTTCATTATAATGTTTGATGGCTTCATTAATTCTTAATTATAATCATCTTTACCATTTTTAAGTAAATCAATAATGAATTCTTCTGCTTTGTTATTGTTTGATCTTGTTTCCGTTTTCACATGTAACTCTGTGTGTTGTGCTAGGGGAAAGTGAATAGGCAAAAGCTTATTGGCAACATTTTAATTACATGTTAATACTATTGTACCAGCTCACATGGTTCCCTGTATTGTTTTGTTTTTTTTTCCCTTGAGAAAAATTAACATGTACTGTACATGATATATATTGAAATAAATCGATATTAAAATGAAACTGAATCGTAAGCTTATGAATCAAAATCAAATCAAATCCTGAAATTTGTGTCAATGCCCAGCCCTGATAAAAACACAGTACGCCTTCCATTGTAGCCTACCATGTAAACATTGTAATGTGTTGTCTGGAAGCATATAATAAAATTCTGTTCAGTTACCAAATGTTTTTACAAACACAATAGTTTTTGTGATGCAAGGTTTTTGTGTTTTGTTCTTTAAAAAACTCACTCACCCACCGCCCACAGGAATAATTCTTACTCTCAACTCAAAAGTTGGCAACCCAAGTATTTATTGGTTGAACTTCGTAGTACAACTTTGTTTCAAAACTTTGTTTTGTCTTGTCTGTCGGCGGCTTGTCAATGTCCTCTTTGCTCCACAATGTTTTTCACTACGTGAGAAAATGAATGTGGGGTGAGAACAGTGTCAATTGCATCAATTGAGTCTCAAGCTGAATTTGTGAGAGCTGGCATCCCTGCTTTCCTCAAGCTTACACAGTTTTGTGTGTGTGTGTGTGTGTGTGTGTGTGTGGGTGGGTGTGTCTGTTTCGTACGGAGCCGCTAAAGGGACCTTTGCAAAAATAAAAATATACAGACATTTTTTTATTCTTGCAAAGGTCCCTTTAGGGGCTCTGTAGTTTCTAAACAAAAACAGTAAAAGAAGAGAGGTGTTCAATCTCAAAGGGTTAAACTTAATATCATATGAGCTGATTCATTTCATATTCACTCACAACTGCAACACAATCTAGGATGCCTAAAAACTGTTTACAACCCTGAATTTGTTAGCATCAAAATCAAATTGACAAAATTCATTATTTGTCACAAAAGCAAAAAAATAATGTATCCAAACATGATCCTTCTGCAGGTTCTACTGTATATAATGTAGTTGTCCTTTGAATACAGCACCACCCACTGGTCAAAATGTATTCATCATATTTAAAAAAAAAAAAAAAAAAAACATTGTTAGAACATAATTTTGTTAGATGGGATTGCATCTGTAACTTTCAGAGTCAGAACTGCTCAACAACTGATATGGAGTAAAACACTTTTTTATTAATTTATGTTTTTACTTTTTAGCCAAGAACTTTGTCCAGTGAGAAACCATATACCTTCACAAGTTCTCCATTATGATGAGCTCAACAGTTTAGTTGGGCTGAATCATCCAGATCACACTTCAGCTGTTATACCTCAGAACACACACACACACACACACACGCGCGCACACACACACGCACACACACACACACACACGCGCACACACGCGCACACACGCGCACACACACACACGCGCACACACACACACACACACACACACACACACACGCGCGCACACACGCGCACACACACACACACACACACACACACACACACACACACACACACACACACACACACACACACACACAAGTGATACAAAAAGCAATCATCATCTTCGTTTGAAGAGCTGTTGTTGTCTGGCTGTAACAAATGACTTTTCTGATCTTCTTAATTCTTTCATAGTTGCTCCTGAGCTCCTGAAAACATATTAAAAAAACAGAATTTTACATACAAAAAAGACAATATATTTAGGAGGTAAAGCTTATTGTGCAATACTATGCACATTGCTAATTTCTCTCTCTCTCTTTTTTTTTTTTTTTTTTTTTTTTTTACATCAGATGCCCGTCCTGACACACATTTACACAACGTGCTCCTCCCGAACTTTGTTAATAAAACATCATTTTGTGAGACGCTGTTGTGTTTGGTTGTCTTTCAGCATCTGTTCTTCACTAGATCAAGATCATCTGAGGGATTTGACTGAATCAAGTAAACAGAGTTTGTTGTAACTTAATCAGAACTACTGACTCTATTCTTTCTGACTGCTGGTTTATACTTTCATCTCATACATTAAAAATCTGTTTCAAATTTTTTTTTTTTTCATATGCTAACATACAGGCTAGCAATTCACTAAAATGCTACTTTAAAAATATATATATACTTGTTCTTGTCTCGTTGCACAAACTTTCATTGTTGACTGATAGACTGATGTATTGATATACAGGGAGAATTTGTGCTTGTGTTTGTGAAACCACAAACACACCAGGCCTTCAGAGGTGTTTCATTTTCAGATGAGCTGAACACTTTCTTACAGCTAAACATGAGCTGGATGCATCCACATCACACTTCAGCTATATATAGATTAATCACAACAAGCTAAATATCTGATAATGAATATTTGCTCCATCGTAACACATTTCAATTTCAATAAGGATGTTTTGAACATATGCCTTTTTTCGTTTTCACTGCTCAACATCTTAGAGCAGAGATTTTTAAACGTTTGATGCCAATGAACCTTGAATATGCTAAACCCCCTTGTGATCGACCTAATAATCTTTCTCCCGGTTTATAAAACCTTAAAACCTACTTAAATATCCTAATTGAACTAAAGCCTAATCCTGGCTTAAAGGCTAAGCCCTGTCTGTGAAAACTGGCCTGTATTATAGATCTTAAAGGGATAGTTCACCCAAAAAATTTAAACCTGTCATTAATTACTCACCCTCATGTCGATCCAAACCTGATAAGAACTTCATTCATCTTCGGAACATAAATGAAGATCTTTTTGAGGAAACCTGAGAGCTTTCTGTCCCTCCATTGACAGCAATGCAACTGACACATTGAGGCTTTAAAAAGTTCATAAATAAATTGTAAATATAATCTGTATGAATTGAGCGCTTTAGTCCAAATTTTCTGAAGAGACATGATCGCTTTATATAATAAACGTCCAAGTTACTAATGTAACCCCTGTTCCCTGAAGGAGGAAACGGAGACGTTACATCAGTGAGATGTAAGAGACTCATTGGCTCTTGCAAAAGCTCAAACGTGCTGCGTAGCACATGAGAATTGAACCTCATTGAATTGAATTTTGAATTGAATTTTTGTTGAGGATAACCTCTTGAGATGAAACATCTCGTTTTCGAGACAAAGACAAAGATAATGCAGCACATATACATTCACTCACACTAAAGCTCTACCTCATCCCGCCTCGCCCGACCCACCAACTCCTTATTGGAAACAAATCCATGAGTAAAACATATTGCAGTATTAAGATGCATAACAACATTTAGCCCTGCACTGTAAAAAATATTTTAGCAATTTAGTTATTTCAACTTATTTTTTTGAGTAGAGATAACTAGATTGTCCAGACAACAAGAAATTTTAAGTTTTCTTGTTCTCAACTAGACTGAAAGTTGAATGAACAAGTCAGATTGTTATTTTAACTCAAAAATGTATGTTTAAACAACTGCACTAGCTTTTCTGTTGAATTAACAAATATAGTTGTTATTTTAACTTATAAATGTAAGTTGAAACAACTGCACTACAATTTCTGCAGGTTTTACTTCAATTATACTCTAATGCTTTGATATTAAACTAAACTTAATTTATCTATCTATCTTGCTGTCTGGTAGACTGTATGGTCTTAAAACCTAAACTTCAAGCTTTTAAAACCGCTTCAAAAATAAATCCTCAACTTCAACAATGTTTTTACAATATGAGCACAGATTCATTAAATTACACAAAAAAAAAAAATTCTAGCCGCTTTAGTTTTTATTCATGGTCAGATTTAATCCATAATGGGCGGATTTGAGCGATTCGTTAAAATGAACCGCTCAAGATGATTCGCTGAATCATTTTTTTCTCTGAGAATTTTCGAGAGAAGCCAGTGGAAACCGGATGATTTTCCATGTTGGACCTTACACGTGTCTTCAGAAGAAATAGACTGATACAGAGTAATTGTGACATTTTATATTGCGAGTTTTTAGTTCATAATAAGCGTTTATAGTCTTGTGTTAACAAATAATATCAAAATAAATCATACATTAAATTCATAAGTGCAAATGAACATTAGTAAAATTATTTTTTTCAGAATTATTCACAGCAAAAACTCCAGTGTTAAATGAACTCTCCTGGGAGTTTATATGGCTTGTTAAAGTTGGGAGTGTTAAAGTTAAAGAGCTAATTAAGTGATTCATTGAGTGATGATTGACCATTATTGAAGACACCTGATGTTAACAAGCAGATTCACCAAAGGAGAAAATCTATTTTTTAAGCCACCATTATGTTGATTAGTGTTTGCTTTAGTTGGTCTCGCCTTAAACTGTTAACATTATATTTTGTTTTGGCTGTTGTACTTGAGTTATAACTACCAGATGATCGAAGAGAAAAGATTATCTGACGGTGTTGGTTATGTTTTGACATAATCATCACTTGACTTGCATCACAAAACTCATTTAGAGCCTAATCTCTGACTTTAAATGTGTAATGTTGATTACAACATCACAGTGATTCTACAGTACAAGATCTAGAAATTTCTACACAATCCAAAGAATTTCTTAAAAGTTGTTTTAATAAAAAAAAAAAAAAAAGATTTTGTGCCTAAAAAAACTTCTTTTTTTTTAGGCACAGACATAAAGAATCAGTGTATTAATCTCAACAATGGTGACAAACAGAATATTTAATTAGGAAAAGGATATTACTAAGACATTTCAGATCATAATTTATTCATACCGCAATGCATGATGGGAGCCATGAGTGAGTTTTGATTGGTGGCACCCAAAATACACTGCAACATGCTTTATTATTGTCACCATTGTTGAGATTCACAGGCTGATTATTGATGTCAGTGTGTCTAAATAAAATGATTTTTCAGAGTGTTTTGATCAGAAAAACTTTTAAGAAATATTTTGGACTATATTGAAAATGCTGAAAAACGTTTGCTATACAATCACAAAAAATTCTCAAGTGATGATTATGTCAAAATATATCCGACACCATAGGAATCACCTTTTCTCTTTGATCATCTGCCAGTTATAACTCAGAAACAACTCCCAAATAAAATCTAATGTTATCAGTTTAAGGGCCACGAGCCCAACTAAGCAAACACTCATC